AGCAGGTTTAAAGCGTGCGAAATTGATATGAACGCCTCTAAACATACAACTTACTAATATGTGTATACGTTAATACACATTTAGTAATAATTGCGCTTTTATAAATATACAAATATTGAGAGGTTTCCATTAAAAGCCAGTTTTTAAAGAAATTTATTATAACTTAGCATTGACGTCCTAATTGAATAGTATTAATGTTAGTGCTTCTTTTTTCAATTACATATACACCTTTGATTAAAAGAAAATTTATACATTTTTGATATAAATCAAGTTCAGCCCCCCATCAGCAAACTAAACAGGCCAATGCATTATTGTATTCATCAATATGTCCGGCATGTTTTTGTACTTCCGCGTAAATCCATTTTCGCCGATGTCTGCAAGTGAAGCGTAAAAAGAAAAAAATATTCGTAAAAAGCATGCTGTTATGACTTGAGATTTTAAATTTTAATGCCTTGTTCTTAATAATATATTATTCCCATCTCACCCTTGAAGGCGCTGTTTAGGCGCTTTTCTTATTAAAATTCAAGCACAGCAATCTTTTGTGTCGTTTTATAAACTGCAGAGCGAAAGCCTTCGGTTCCATTTTAAATCTATTGTGATTTATGATTTAAGAAGTAGCTACTGATTTTTTTAAATCGCTTCTTTGACGAATTGTTAATGATGTACAGTTATTTTCTTTTATGTTTTCGCTCTTCAGATGATACACTTTAGATGAGCCAGTTTTTCCACCAGCAAAATAGCAAATTTTGAAAGGCAAATATTCAAATAAAATATGTTGGTAATAATTAAAAGAGTGAAATGTATTGGAGGTTTTTAATTCTGTTCTGTTCAATCAGGATAAAAGTCCCATACAGAAATAGAAGTTACTTACAGAAATGGTAGAGAAACTAGTTCAGTCAACAACTGCGGGGGTCCTTTAGAATACAAATGATCGATGAATAATTATATTTATATAATTATATTTGACTCTACGGGAAAGAAAAGATAATCAAAGTCAAGTTATTTATGACAAAGTCTGCTTGAACTATCCAAATATCTAAAACGGAATTTGTTTTTAATTAAAAACGAATCACTATTAATTAATAAAAATTCAAATATTAACTTATCCACTTCCAGTTTTCGAAAAAAAATTGCTCCACTACAAGTAGCTATATAGAACTTTTCCATCAAAGTAGCTACTTCAGTGGAAAATACTCAATATTTTTTGAAGGGTTTTATTGTCATCTCAACATTCTAATAATAATGATTTGGTTGGATTTGCTTCTTTTATTTGCCGATTAGGAAGTTTGTTCCATAAAACGTTTCTAAACACCTCGTTGAAACTTTACGGCTTTCATTTGATGTTATGGTCTCTCCTTAGAAATTTTGCCTTTTAGCGAACTGTAAGTTCTGGTTTAAGTTGATTATATTAGAACTTTGAAAGTGATAGAATTTTGTAATTAGTGTTCTTTTGATAGAAAGTGCAGTCCAAATATCAGAAAATTGTGTATTTAGTGCTTCTAACGCTAAACCTGATTGCTTACAATGCTTACATATTAAAGAAAGAGAATTTTCTGAAAATCGGTTATACGCATAATATATCAAGAAACATCAAAACATTTTTGATTATTTCGGCTATAGTCGTCGGTATTTGATTATTATGCACCTTTTGATATGAGAGCTCTTTTGTTAGAAAAATCAAAGCCTGAATTAGTTTACTGAAAAATTTGCCTCAAACATCTTTATACTAACTTTTTTATTTTTTCATTTTTCATTATTGGCGAACATGTAAGTTGTAATGGCAAAAAGTGAGTAAAATATGGCTTTATTCTTCATATTTAATTAAAATTAAGAAAGACAGCATTGTGCGGTTGACGATAAACTTCAGGTTTCAAGAGAAAAATGAAATACGCACGACACTTGGAGCTTTTGCGTGCTTGTCTTGCATAAATTAATCTCACTACATTCTCTGATGGGAATGCTCATGTTCTATTGGATTAAATCAATCAAGCAAAATGGAAGATACAGTAATACAGTGTATTAAAAAGGAGTGTAAAATAATAAGATTTCTAATAGACAGCGTCCGCAGAGTAAAAGTTTTTGAGATATAGAAGCTTGTCATTTTAGTCCTTCTCTAATTCTTATGTTCTTATCTCTAGTGTAATCAAATGCCTACAGCTACCAATTATTGCAAAACGCCGACAAAAACGAGCCAATGAGAGGGTTTTAGAAAGTTGAACTATCTCTCAGTCACTTTGAGCTTCTTATAGGTTGTAGTTTTCTTACTTTAGTTTGCTTGCCCATACGAAATGAGTAATCAATAATTGCTATTAAGTGATTCAGGAAAAACTTCGTTCCATATCACTGAAACTGCTAAACATGTTTACTGAGTGCCATTTTAGTTTATAGGTACTATTAAGGTTTATAGGTACCTACTTACTATTAAATCCTTAATTATTTTACATTGGTCTTAAACAGGCGGCGGCACAGTGAAAAAAATTTCTTGTTCGTATACCTCTATATCCATATCTTAAGTTTCGGCCAACTGATGTGGATGAAATTTGGCGCGAGTATACTTGAAGTAATGTGGAATAAGGGAAAAATATAAGTAAGACCTAAAAATAACATCCACAGCCGGATAATTCATGAGGAAACATGATATTTTACACTGTGTGCTATGAAGTCAATTATAGCTTTATAGCAAGTGAACATTTTTTTTGCGCAAACAGTGTTGGTTATGTATTTTAATCTGCTCTACTCAAATATAAGCAAAAAAAGCGTGTTCGGATTATGATTTCTCGGCAAAATCGATCAAACTTTGAAAAAAACGTGATTTTTGGTGGTAAAATGACAATTATTTTATTTTGTTGTTAAACACTTCAGTATTTATGTATAATTTTTATTCTCAAACAAGTATTTATAAATAAAACTAATAAATATCACATTCTTTTCCGATGCAATTGCGGAAAACCCCAGAAAATTACGGATTTTCTCAATTTTATATTCAGAAAAAAAATCACCCTGAAATTTGAATTATGCGAAATATTACTTTTAGAAAATCTTATCGTAGTTAAACAATTGCTCGTAAAAACTATACTTACGGATACTGTCAATCGCAGATAAAGAATTAATTATAAAAGTTTAGTAGCTTTTAATAGTTTTAACGAGAAATCGTTTAACTATGAGAAGATTTTCTAGTAATATTTAGCATAATTTCAAATTTCACAGTAAATTTTTTTCTGCAAAGAAAACAATTGTATCGGAAAAGAATTTGATATTTATTAGTTTTATTTATAAATACTTGATTGGGAATGAAAATTGTGTTTGAATACTCAAGAGTTTAACAAAATAAAATAATCGTCATTTCACTACCAAAAATTATGTTTTTCAGTGTTCGAATCAATTTTTCCGGAAGTCAGAAGTCATAATCCGAACACGCTTTTTGCGTGGATTTGAGTTCATCAGATTAAAATACATAAATAAAAATTGTATTTTATAAAAAAACCTATTTGATATTTGGCACCTGAGTATTTTTTTGAGGCAATTTGTTATTTCATTGTGCTGTTGCGAAGTATTGCTTCTCAGCGGCTGTTCATCGCTCTTTCAACCGTGACGGGTTTTCAACAATACTGTCAAATATTATGGATCGAGCACAAAACGGCTGTTTTATTAAACATATTAATTTCGTCTTCGAGAGACAAATTTTCTTCAAACAATTGCATGCTGAGTCTATCCGTCACGTCCAACGGAGATGAATGATTACGTAAGTGAAATGTCAACGGGTCTAAGTAAGCGCATTCGTCTTGAGCTCCCTTTTTAGAGAGCCCAGGTGTTTCCGAGGCATTTTGTCCCAGTTACATTTGATGGGGGTTGATTCCGTAAAAATGTTCATCAGTCAAGGGGATGCTCTTCTTTCTGCTTAAGGGTTTAATACATTTATTTCCATATACATTTATTCGGTTAACTGTTCAATACACTCAAAGAATACGGCCCTTCGATCAGTTGAAAATCTACAAAAGCTATTAGATAAACTACTGGAATATTGTATTCTTCTCGTACATGTAAAGTGGGAAAAATGAGTTCCTGTGGTTTCTCTTCATACCGCCGTGAAATCCTGAATTACGAATATCTTAAATTTTCAGTTCTATCAATTGTCGAATTTATTGAATGATTATCACTTTTTGAGAGTGCAGTCATTAAGAGTGTCTATGATGGCGACCAGGTTTGACCTCCAAAATTGCCAGATTTAGTTCCCTAGACTTTTCGTTTAAGTGGTACTCACGTAAACATTTGCTACTTACTGCCGATTAAAATTAAAGCTTTTTACGATGGGGTTTTCATAAAACGTAACAGATAAGGGTTCGATTAAATCAGAGCATTTGTACATTTTTGCGCTTATGGAGGAATATGACCTCTAATAAAATTACGGTTCTAAAATGATGATAATTAAACCAAATTCGGCCTTTTAGATTTGAAAAATTATTGTATTTTCGTGTGTTCTTTTAATAAAAACAGTGTAGTAGGATTTTGATTTAAATTTGTATGTTGTAAAATTGACAAGTATTTATATTTATTTATCTACAAAACTATAGAAAATATTTGCTTTCACTATAGCTTATTTATAGATACTATAATTATATATTTTGTAATTTAAAGTGCTAGATTCTGCTCGTATCATAATTGCACAGTTCATACAAATATTGAATTAAAGAATAGATAAACTAACTAGCTTGAACATGGATTTTGGAGGAAAGTTACGGTATGATAAAGCTTAGCATGTCTTCTATTGTTCTTCGTTGTTGTGTTTTTTTTCCAAAACCGCTCAAATTTTACAATATTTTCTCGGAATCCAACGAGATCAGAAAGAGATACTCGAAACTTTTCTGAATCGTATTTAGCTGAAGATGCCTTATTATAGAACCAAACACCCCCATATTGCAGACACCCCCATATTGCAGATTTACAAACAAAGAAAATTTTGTCGATTATCTGCGCTATCGTCCATTACTAAAAACCAATAATACTAATTCATTTCGTTGTAAAATGTCGCTTGCCAACATTAATGTACACTGCGGCACATATTAGTATAAGACTTTTAAAATTAACATTTATTTTTCTAAAATGTTGGTCTTAATCATACAATTGTTTACTAAGCTGGTAAACTAGCGGCAGTTTCACTTTCGATTCCACAATGGTCCACTCCGCGAAGGAATTTGAAGTATCCATTGTCACCCCAGTCGGTGTTCCATGAATTGGCAATCAGCCAGTATTTGGTTCCTTCTTCGACACCCCATCCTAGCACTTTAATGGCATGTCCGCCAACAGACTCATCCTGTGCGGTTGCCTGATAAACTCCTAAAATAAATTATTGCAATCTGCCGAAGTGCCTAAACCGTCAAGTTACTTACCAGATTTGTAGCTCAAGAAGTCATTATATACGGTAAAAGCGGCTTCAATGGGTCCATTTTTGAGAATTTCCAATTGCATTTGCTTCTCATTGGTGAAAGTGCTGACCTGTTGTCCAAAAGTGAGAGATTCTGTGTAATCCAAGGAGCTTTCGTAGCAAGATCTGACGCATTCAGGAGTATCATAGTTCAAAGATGAACACTGTGGTCTGGATCCAACTTCAACGTGATGTTCGCATGGTTCCAGCGAGTAGTCTTTGCATCCTTGGGATGAGTTGTAGGCTCCACCAGTTACAATACCGTCAGTCCTCCAGTATTCCCATGGTTCCGCAACGTATCCACCATCGCATCCCATTCCACAGGCAAATAGTCCAAAGCAACATGAGTTCAAGTCTTCAGCAGATACGTACACTTGCTTGGATTGGTCTGAGTGAATGCAAATTCTGTCGGACATGGCTTCGACAGCACCAAAAGCCTGCAAAATTTTGTAAATTTAAGATCTGAAGGACTGGGACAGATGGCGTGTTTAGTATAGAACGTAGTCCCAAATTAAAACACTAACAGGAATTTAAGTTTCGTCATGTTTTTCGCATTCTCCAAGTCAAATCAATCAACGTGAAATGACGCTAGCCTTAAAAAAAGTTGCAAAAGGTATGCTTTTATACTTTTTTTCGATTATGGAGCACCTTTGACTTTAAGACGTGAAAGAGGATGAAGCACAAAAAATCTTAAATAAATAAAGAGCTATGCCAGTGCCTCAATCGGAATTTAGCAAAGTGTAAAATCATTCCATTTCAGTAACTTAATTGGTGGTGCAAAATTTTTAGATACACATGTATAATTGCACGAACTTAACATTTTTAAATCAGTTTTTTTCTAATGTTTTTCAAACCAAAGCTAATATTCTGCAATATTGAATTTCGATGCCTCGAAGCAAATTCTACGGCGTATTTTGACCAATGTGTTATCGAAATTTAAAAAATCCTCTTTAATTAACTAAGCGTGAGATTTAGCAATTTGTGTTCGGAATAACACATTCATATTTATTATTATATTATCTAATTGCCGATTTAATGATTTACTGCGCAACTTGCGCATGAAGCCCGGATCTTGACCCATCGGATATCAGCGATTGCAGTTATTTATTGAGTTATATTATATGATAAAACTGCAGATAGTCCAAAGGAATTTCGAAACATAAATATATTTCGAGACAATTACCTTTTTCAAAATAGGTGATAAAAAAGTTTCAAGTGTTGAAGATTGACGCGCGTACTTGAAATATTTGTTATCAAAAATCGCTGTCTGGCTTTTAGTTATTTATTATCAAAGTAACTAAACTTCTTTCAGTAAAATCAACTTGCTAAATGGTCATTGTAGGACGTCAAATGACCGTGTAGGATATACGTAGGTTTAGGTCATTTTTGTTGCTGTTAACAAAATATTTTTTGGAAAATTATTTTATCCGTCTTTAACCCAACGATTTTTGAGATTAATTTTTAATGCAGCTCTGTAAAAAATGCGAAAGCATGAAAAGCAAAGGATGGAAAATACTCATGAACACAATTAGGAATGTTTCCATCTCTGTCGATTTAATTAGATTCATTTGTTAAAAAGATACTACAAACAATCGTTTGAATGATTCTAAATTAAAAATGATAATCGTTGCATGCTAGAAAATACAGTATGTTATTATTATTAATTAGTATTAATTAATTATATAGAAGGTTGAAAAAAATAAGAGAATGATTGCTTGTGAAGAAACAGTTAATTTGCTATTACATTCGCTATCTATTGAACGCCGGTCGTCATATGAACAGATGTAAAATCGTTAAACATAATTTTTTAGCAATATATAAATACGAAATAATAACTGAAGATACTGTATGTCTCAATTGTCCGATATTTTTTCCAATGAAACTCAACTCTCAAATGTCCTTTATCACGTGATATACGAACCTGCATTCTATTGTGTGCTATTTGCCTCCCTATATTACCTCTGCCATTGCTTTTATTGATAAATATAAAGCTATGCTTTCTGGGTGATTTGAAAAACGTTCTTTGTAGTTTGAAACAATTTGAAATACTATTGCTTACCCAGCATGATCCACAGCTTGATTGATCTCTAATCTGCTTAAGAGAATCACACCTTGGCCAATTTTCACGAGCGTCGAATGATTCCGGAACTTCTTCGCTTTCGTCATGAGGATTGCTTTGTGTGACAAATCTCAGTGCAGCTTTTCTTGGCAAAACGCCAGCAGCGATTTTCTTTACGCGTTCCCAGTCTTCAACTTCAAAGTTCTTTCCTGCCTTCCATGTTGTTGCTTTTTCATTAATTGATGCAATGTACTCATCGGAAAGAGGATGGAGGTCAAGTGACGTCCCATGACATACAGCCACGAAAGCTAAAACTGCGATGGGTGTGAAGAGTTTCATTTTTTCCTGAAACACATTATTTATAAAGTATTTTCAATACAACGCCAGTTTAAAAAGCCTAATTTTATTGAATAGTCGATTGTAATTTGGATGTTGCAAACTATTTTTGCTATTATTTGTATCGGAATCATGCGTGCCCTTTTTAAGGAAATTGTGGTACTAAATTTTTAAATTGTTAGAAGACACTTACCAACTGAACACTACTAACTGATTTACAACCATTCAAATGATTTTATATCTTTTAGGTGCGTCTAGTTTTTTGTTTGATAAAGATAAAGATGCTTGTAATGAAAATATTTTAATATTTAACAATCGAGACAATTAATTTCAACAATTTTGCCGATGACAATCAGGCCATTCTTTTTCGGTACTGATAAATGTGAAGTGGCTATTTACCTTGACGTATGCATTATTCTTACTACGAATCAGGTTTCCAACTCCTTTCTTCATGTTTATGTTTTATGTTACATGATTAGTGCGTCTGAATGGAAAAATATACACTTTTTCCATTCCATGCCATTATTTACATTTATATTCCGTATATACATAAAGAGGAGACTTATAAGTTGCTCAATGTTATAACTCGCTTAATATATAGAAAGTTGCGCATTAAGCCTTATAATATTGTGGTGGAGATGAAAAACTTAGTTGCCATCAGGTAAGAAAGAAACAATTCGGTGGAAATTTAGGTGAAAGGAGAAAGAGCAGTTGCTTTCTCTCATCTTTTACCTAAAGTACTTCTTGACGTCGGACTTAAAGTGCGTGCTTATTACTGTAGTCGATAAAATACATTTTTGCCGACTAACTTACTGTACACAGTGGTTCAGTTTTCAAGACGTGATAGTGTGTCTTATTCAAAAAATAAATAACTTTTATTTTCTTTGAGCACCCAAGCTGCAACTTTTAATAAGCAAAGTTTATCATTAGTAACGCAAAATTAAAGAATTTGTATAAGACAATTTACAATGTGAGTTGAACATAACTATTATAGAAAATTTACCTCAGATGCATTAAATATTAAATGTCATTTATCTAACGATCTACGAACATTTAATTAGTTTCCTACTAGTACTCGCCTCACTGTACGTTATGCCATTACATAATTGTTGCCTTAAATTTACAACTTTTACCTCACCTTCAAGTATCTTGTTGTAAGTAATAACAAATAAAGGAGATCCACTTTAATTACTTGAAGAACCTTTGATCTAGTACCATATTTAATTAATATATTCGACAATTTTAATGTTTTCTGTGTTTGCAACACAACACAATAAAATAATCTTAGGCTGTATGCAATTTGTTTCCGTATGATTTTCTTATAAATGGTAAAATTTGGACTTTTCGAAAGTGTAAAAATTGTAATTATTTATTCTCTAACTGCTGGAACTTAATAGTTCCAGCAGACCGTCTCTACTTCCCTCGAATTTATTTTCATGTAGCATAATTTACATATTCTATTAAAAGTACAACACTCTTAATGTAAATATTAACTAAGGGCAGATATTTTTATGTTTTGAATCATTTAAAAAAAATTTGACTGGACATTAGACAAATATGAGGACAAAATCAATTATTAATAATAATATACTAATGATTATTAGCAAAAACTGAGAAATTTGTTTCCTCAGCAACTTGTTGCACGACTATCGCAAGCGATTTGGAAAAACAATAATTGAAATGTGTACTGTAAACTGCATATGTGTTTACAACTTCTACGTTTACGTTCACAACGTTGTACAACTTGAGGTTTCACTGTTTTATAAAATGTGCATCAAATATTTAGTTTCTACTTAATTAATAATTAATAAACTGCAATTTCAAGATATAAGTGATTAAATATTAGAACAAATACTCGTATAACCTACTCCCTAATTTAGGTAATCTAGAAGGCAAAGAAAAACATTTGGAACTAATCGTATCTGAAAAATGCTTAAGCTGTGGTTTATTTATGTCCCAGTTGTCAAAGCTTTAGTTTCTAATTGTGTGTTTTCTCACCTAAAGTGAATTCTCGGTTTGTTAAGCGTTTAAAACGGTTCCGTTCAATGCGGTCAAATATCTAATTACTTTTTGCAACTTGAAAGTCTTGATCAAACAGAACATGGCCTTGGGCTTCGTCTTCTTCTTGCATACATAGTGTTGGTCTTGACCTTAATCTCGCTCATCACTAAAATATATTTAAAGCCATTTGTTTATTCATCGATATTTGTCTTTAGAGAATTTGTGGACCGTATACACCTTTTTGACTGTGCCCAAACAAAACTACTAAATTGGAACTATATTTATTTGGACAAACTTGTTAAAAATGACAGAAATGAAAAAAAATGAAGAAATGAGCCCCTGATTTTCGATTTGAGAGCACCTTTAAAACTGTTCAAAATTTACCCTCTCAAAAACCAGGCAAAAACTGTCCTTTAGGTATTTCGCGACCCAAACCCCACAATTTTCAAAAAAATAAACACCTGGAATATATTGAAATCTTATTAAAAATCTATATATGAAATCAAATAATCTTATCAGAAAAACTATATGAAAAATCAGCTACATCACCTTTAGAGGCATACATTTGGAATCACTATAACCAGGTATAAACTTGCTGTGGAGATTTTTGTTCTTAAATATTTTCAGAGTAAACTCACAACATGACAAATGTCCTATTTGAAGCTTAATAAGCCCATAATTCAAATAAGATTTTTAAAATATTCTTTTCGTTCTGGCTTCTCTACCAGATCGCTAGCGCGTTAGTTTGTGCAAGAATTGAAAATTGCTGTATTTGCTCTTTAGTCTTCGTTCCATACCCCTTCATACCTACTTCATAAACCCAGATCATCAGGTTTAAGTTCTCCTCCGAGATCAATTGACCGAGATTGCGAGAAGTCCAAAAGTCGTCAAATTCAACGAAAATTTTACTTCTCGAGTTTTAACATGTTATAGTTGTTACCACATCTTGAAATTCACCTCCACATTCACGCAATCATCTGCCCTAGATTTTGGCACAAATCGGCCATTTCGTTACTTCAATTCAATAATTTTATCGGTTATGGGTAAATAACTGAATTTCTATAAAATAGATCTACGTTAATACGCACCGTTTAGTGCGATCTCACGTCCCCTATTTATTTTCCATTCGACTCGTTATCCGCCCTAAACAATGACTCAGTGGTAAGTAGGCAATTGACAAACACTGATTCTGACATGAGGGGGTTTGTATTAGATTTATTATTGTGGAGGACCAGTGCAGCCTTTGGGACAGATTACCAAAATACAGATATGTGCATTCACGATATTTATGACTTCTCACGCCATAAACATTTGTTTTAATTATTTAGCCCCTAGTCTGTAAATATTAGATTCACATTTGATCGAAGTGCGTATCTAAATGCCATGCTCTTTCCCTATTCGGCTTACCCTAATCCATGGTGGAACACGGTTAATGATTTATTTGAAAAATTCAGAGATAAACCATTTTTGCCTTTTAAACCCTTTTTTACTTTATTAAATAATAAAATTTTTTGAGGATCTATGTATACAACCCCTTTGAGGGCTCGGTTTATTGGGCCACACTATTTTTTTGCTCTGTTATATTGAAAGCATCCTTTGAGGCAGTAAATATTAGCGGGGATTGCGTTGTATTGTAAATATTGGGCATAACAAAATATTTACTTGCAAATAAACCTAGGAATATTGTTTTTGCATTGTGGTTTAACATCCGTTGTTTTCAGGTACTGATCAAACATTCAGGCGGTATAAAATTCAGACTTGTCGCCTGAGGATGCTTGCTAAATATAGAAGCAAAACGTAAAGCTGAAATACTAGCGGAGTTCTTAAAAAGTTGATACGAGCTTGTTTTGAAGTGATAACTTTTTATGGGTGGGTGAACCGATTTTTCTCGGTCGCGGCAAGCCGTAACGGCGGNGGCTCCCACTCCGGCCTATTCGCGCCTGAGGCTTGACACGCACATATGCACTTTGAATTCAACATTTTTCTCTTAGTGCGGGTGCATCTGTAGATCTGACAAACTTTTCAAATACACATTGCGTTGATAAACTGACAGTGATTTGGATATATTAATTATTGAGTGGGGTATGACGGTGTTCGGTGCAGTTTATTTTATAACGCTGATAACAATGAAACAACCAATTAACGAGGGAGAAGCTGCAGATACTGCAAATACTAGGTAAGGGTGCTCATGTACTATATGCCTGTTCGAGTTTCGCGTTCTTTTTAATTTCCAATTAATGTATACAGACAATTATATACACTAAAGCAGTTTAAGTGCAAAAAAATGCGAATCGTCCATAAATTTGCAGAAAAATGTATTACAAACTTTTGAAAATCGTGTTCAAACGGTATTTATCATTGCAAATGAGATTGCCCATTGTCGTGTACTGTTAAATGTTGTTTTAAGAACTAACAATCGATGTTGTGCAACAAAATTGTGCATACGATCCACTACAATAAAGTTTTTGAAAAACGGTTGGACCTATTTTAAATTGCCTGATTGATTGTGGACGCAAATTCGTATCAAGAAAAGATTAAATTAAATTAAATCGTATCTATAGAATCCCGGTACCGATTCCCTATGTCTTACTCTCCGTCTGTAGTCCAGATGCTACCCAGATAGTGATGGCCGGGCCGGATCTGACCCGACTCGGCAATTCGGATCTTTGAAAAGACCCGACGGATCAGGATCGGATCCGGATCTTGAAATTTTCCAAATACGGGTCTCGGATCTTAACGGATCTTTTATATGTCTAGAAATAAAGCAGCGTGCAACTGTAATACAACTTAGTTAACATACTGTTTCAAAACATACAAAAACTTAAGTGAATTAAATATGATAAAATGAAAAATATACTTTACATTTATTTTTGAAAGCTTGCAATCGAGCGGGTCATGAATATTGGCAAACCCGGTTGTCGAATCAGTCGAACTTAATGTTCTGTGTTCTGTCAGGTCAAAAGAGCCGTGTTTCGGATCTGAGATTCGGATCCGAATTTCGGATCCGGATCTCGGCTCAACGGGTCTACAACCATGTAGAATCTTAAGTCCCGACGGATCTTCTGCATTCCATTCCGGATAACGTAAGGAAAATATGTCTCATTACTGTTGCGCAGTTTGAACTAAAGACATATAAAGTACTATAGTTTAACGTATATTTTTCAGTATTAGTAATCATTATGTTTAAACTATTCAACATTTCAATAGATCGCTCTTACAAACGATCGTCGCTCTTGTACCGAAAGTTCCTATTTTTTGCTTTCAGAAATTGAGACGCCAATTATGAAGAAATACTTATTTACAATAAATGGTGTGCGCTTGCACGGTGAAAATTATGAAAATAAAATTAAAACAAGGATTAAACTTGTATTTACTTTCTGTCATTTTATATAATGCAAGTACCTTTCGTAACTATGTGTTGACATTTTATTATACAGGGTGATTCAAAATTGGCGTCATTCCTCTGGAGGTGTTGTCTGGCGCTTTACAGAAAAAATAGTAAAGTTAATTAATTGTTATCAAAAACTGAGAAATATGCAGCATACGGCAGCAATGTTTTTCAAGGTAATGTGCCTAATTAACATTGCGCAAATACCTGTAGCTTCGTAATTATTTAAAACTCCGGTAACCATGGAATTATACTGTACCGTGGATGGCCGAGCATCAAACTCTTTCTTCAGCTTAAAACTTTTATTCCACTTGGTATCGCTTTAAATACGGAACAGGAACAACCTAACTTCAAAATTACCGTCAACTTCACAAACAATAACAATAACAGACGGAAAGCTCGCTCTTCCGACTCGCGGGTTTAACCTTCTTCTGCACTCCGTCACTGCTGTGACTTTACTCTCCCCGTCTGGATCTCGTCGTCGCTTATATAATTTCCTCCAGGTAACCCAGATGGTCCTCGAAATCTCCAGAACAGGTGCGAAACTTCCCGCTTGTCAGTGTCATATTTGACAGTAAATGGGGCGCAAATGGGGCTCCCATTTACTGAAATACCATCAATTTCGATCCCCCCATTCCAAACGTGAGTACCCCAGGCCATTTCCGTTACAATACAGACTCACAATAACCACATGTTGACGAAATGTCAACCTGCTCTCATAACCTGGAATATGGGTGTTTATAAATAAACCCTACAACACCAAACATTTTAATGGTTAACTCCAAACAAGCTAGTGCCTGTGTAATCTCCTTATTATCCACTCTTATCAAGCAGCTTCTCGTATTCAGTTAATTAACGTCTGCTCCATTTGTATCTCCTTGTGCTGTGTGTATCGTACAAACGTGGTAGGAACGTAGCCCTTCCTCGGTATTTATTTGGTGCTTGGGAAAGT